CTTTCGGGGGTGCTTTCGTGGTCTGGAGGAATGGTGTTCGCCTCTCATTCAATAGGTCCCAGGTTCGCAACTTGACAGCGACGGAAAATTTTCATCTGTTAAAATTCCCTCCTTCCACCTCCTTTCCTGTTCTCTTACCATATTCTGTCGTCTGCTTTCGGCTTCACTTTCTGCTCCCTCCTCCTTTTCTTCCCCACCCCATTTTGGGCTTATTACTCTTTCTCTAGCCTTTCTTCCGCTATGCAATGGCTCCTTACTGCTGTCATTCAGCCACACCTCTGAGCTTAGAATAGGTAAGATGTAACACCTAGCCTTCCAGGATAAGAGCGAAAAAATCTCGGAGGTCCCGGGTGCAAGTAGCGAGCTGTGGATTTTCCTAAGACAATGTGACTACTTTGTGAAGAAAAGAGCGTCATATTTTTCGTGTGTAAAAAATCCCACATGCACTTCTAATCCGTGAAGCCTCATATGATGTAATGCCCTCAAGGATTAACTCGTTTTTTGTAAGTGTTTACGGCGCTCGCAACTGCATACGGTCACATGAGTGCACGGGACGCACTAAACATTTTCAGCTGGTAGGAAATTTGAAATTTTGCCCGTGTGACGGCCGAAGCCTACACATCAATTTTGGACCACCAAGAGATCTTTAGTGTGCGCAACTTGCACACGGGACCGATTAACTCTTAGTTCTTCCGAGATATTTTATGGTGTCTTTTTAGCGCTTTATTTTCTGCATGCTAACTTAAAAGATTTCCTGAGGTCTGCTCAGAATAGAATAATGAGGTAGGGATTCTGAAAACCAGCACTCCTACGACATATCCAGATCAGTCAAGTTGAGTCGTTCTGAGGTTAGAAAACAGACTCTCGAATTTTCACTTTTGACAGCTTGGGCGTCTGGTATTTTATCCTGCCATTTAAAGCCTAGAATTCTTCTGAAACATTTCAGGTGAAAATGATTTATTAAGCTTCTTAGCATGGCTTTGGTGCACTGCCCAGGTCGCAGCATTGTACAGATTAGAAGGGGTTGTGAGCACAGCAACATTGCTGACGATCGACTTTCTCTCTGTGCGAATACCTCAGCAGTCCCAAACCTTACTCAGAATCTTCCAAATGATGCACATTCTCATTCATGCGTGAAACTATTTCTGCTTCGAAGCAGACATTTGAAGACAATATACTGCCAATATATTTTATATGACGTTTTCAACATTGTTAGTGTTTCGTAATGTATTTTGATTTCTAGAGGGGCAGTCTCCGTATGACCAGAGATAGACTCAAAGAAAACTTCTGTATTTGCTGTACTTATTGCGAGACCTTTCAGCACCCCTACTGATCGCGGTAATCTTTATAGGCAGATGAAGTGAGCTTTCTGAAAGGAGCATTTTCTAGCCCCTTCCCCAAGTAGGGCGAGCTGCGGTACTGTCCTAAATAGGCTGCTCAGAAACCTTGGGTGCCTACCAGCCGTTCCTTCACATCAACTCAGTATTAAATCTTCTTCCTCTTCACTGCGTTCCCCTGCTAGATCCCAAGGTAGTCAACTGTTGGTTCTTCAGCCTGCAATGCAGCTGGTTTTTACGTTATGCCTCCCCCCTCCCTTGCCTTCACATATCCACATTCTGATTCCTAAGCTACTATATTTTTTAAGGTACCATGTTTTTAAATTGTGACTAGAGTATCATCATCATCATCATCATCATCATCATCATCATCGTCATCATCATCATCATCATCATCCTCATCATCATCATCATCATCATCATCATCATCATCATCATCATCATCATCATTGAAGAAAGAGTAAGAATGTTGAGTCATTCTCAGTTAATAAAGAAAACAAAAACCGCCAAAAAACCAAAACTGGGGTTTAGTAAAATGGCTCATGAAGGCTTCTACTGGAATAAATCACTTGTTTAGTTATCATGCGACCGGGGCATGACTCAGGTTTAGAAGTGTTGAGAAATCAATTAATGCTGGCGTACCACATTATCTTTTTAGACATAAGCCAGGGCTGACACGTCGCAAAGTCGAGAGGATTTCCCTCGGCTGACAAGCTGAAGAGTGGTTAATTGCTCAAAGGTGGGATAGACAAGGACAATCTTTGAGGCGACATCAAACCGTCAAATGCACGATAAGGAGAGAGAAAGGACTATGGGGGTGGGGGTGGGAGTGCACAGAGAGAGAGAGAGAGAGAGAGAGAGAGAGAGAGAGAGAGAGAGAGAGAGA